TATTTATTTATTTACATACTACTTGTGTACTATTAATGTTAAATGATTTTTTGTCTTGACAATCAAACTACATTTTGGGATCGTTTCTTGGAGTTTAATTTTAAGACTTATTCTGAGTTCAAAAGCAATACTGTTGGTTTTCTCATCAATTTTCGTCAGCCTATGTTTGAATAACTTTAATTTATTTATATACATACTACTCGTGTACTATTGATATTAATTGATTGTATTGTCTTGACTGCCAAACACCATTTTTTCATGGTTTTTTAGAATTTATTTTTAAGTCTTATTCTGAGTTCAAAAGCAATCCTGTGGGTTTTCTTAATATTTTTGTCAGCGTATGCTTGCATAACTATAATTTATTTATATGCATATTACTCGTGTACTATTGATATTAATTGGTTGTATTGTCTTGACTGCCCAACACCATTTTTAATGGTTTTTTAGAGTTTATTTCAAGTCTTATTCTAAGTTCAAAAGCAATCCTGTGGGTTTTATTATTATTTTGTGAACCTATATATACCTAACTTTAATGTATTTATGTACATACTACTCGTGTACTATTAATATTAATTGCTTGTTTTGTCTTGACTGCCAAACACCATTTTTGCATGGTTTCTTGGAATTTAATTTTAAGTCTTATTCTAATTCCAAAAGTAATTATTTAAGATGGAAACTTGTCCCCTTTCGGATCTTCTTTGTTCTACTTCGAAAAGTGTCCAATTTTGTCTTATCTGTTGGAAAATGTTTTTCCGATGTAAGTCGATGTTCGTCTGTCTGGCGGCTAAGCCAAAAGACACGAGTTGACCAACAAATGTCAACCCTCCTGCCGCCTCCGTCCTGGCCAGAGTGGTCAGATTGTCCACTCGACCAAACGGCCCTAGCGACAATGTGTCGTTAAGAGGACAAAGATGTCTCGGTGCACCGGCCGGCAAGCCTGCAAACCGACCAAGTGGTACCTCTTCCCTCCGTCCCTGTGGGAGCAGTTAATCCACATTTGTCAGTATCATCCGAATGGGTATCATCAACGTCAGCATCATCATGCCCAACCAAGTAAACAGGCCCGGAGTCTGGCGCCGGCCAGGCAGGGCTGGTTACCTCTTTTCGTGCACATTCCCTCGGGCCGAAGTTCAAGTGTCGGCCGGTCACTTTGTGCTCTCCTGCGCCGCCGGGCCTACGTGGGTGTGAAATATGGGCCAATTTGTGCTGTGTTTACCGGTACGTGAACGGCCGACCGAGGCTGAATGCAGAGACACAATAAACACCGGCCTCCGAGGAGCATTCAGGCGTGGGAACAGCCGCACACACACACAAACACACACTTCATATCCTCCCAGCAACTCAGCTCAAACACACAACAACCTACAGCACACACACAAACACACACAGTGACAGTCTCCAGTCTCGGATGTCGCAAGCTCGGTACCGTCTTTCGGGGCCTCTCGGTCTGCGATGGCAGAAGTGCCGAGGCTGGGCCATTATCCTCGGCAAGTGTATGTGAAATGGGAGATTTTCAACACATA